GAAAGAAAACAGTAATTACTAAACAAGTCAAAGTAGACCCCGAGTTATCCCTATCTTCCTTCCAGCTGGATTTGAGTATACAACATGTTCTGCCAAAATATGTTGTTTTCTGCTGCTCAGAACTGTTCTCATCCCTGAGGATTTTCTTTGTTAGAGAAGGGTTAAAGAGAAATCCCTTTGCTCTCAGCTCAGACATAGTAATTCTGAAGAGCTAAGGGGAAAATTTTACCCACAAGCAATTCCTCCATTTTCATCATAGTTGCTGAAGTGGTTTCAGAGAAGCAGAGGGAAAAGGTGCATGGCTGCTCAATCAGTGCAATCTATTAAAATTAATTAGATGTCATTTAGTTTCTTAACTTTGCAGAGGGACCAGCAGAAAATGTAAGCACAGGCCACCTCTCACAGGCTCTTGTCATATCTCACAGAAACCAGGTATAAATTTGGGGAAGTAAGCCTGGCCAACTTAAAGACTTGGTAAAAACCAAGCCACTGCCTCCCCTATCCCCAGAACCCAATAAACAAATATCTATCTTGCTATAGCTTGTTATAGAAGACGTGGTGAGATCCCTGGCAGGAGTGTCCACAGATGAGTAATTTTTAACTGGATCAGGCAAAGCCGTCAACTTCATCACAGGAAACAATATTGCATCGGCAAAAAAAAAAGTGAAAAATGTTGTCTTTTAGGTTTTTATAATTCCTTTCTTCACAGGAAGAATTATAATTCCTTCATCCTTTGTCACATTTTACCCACACTGCAGGCTGTAATAAATAGTTCATTTGAAGTATTCTCTATTCAGACTGAAAATCGGGAGTACTAAGAATATGTAAACAGGAAGCAAATAAACCAGTTTGACTTAGAAGCGTATTTATCAGGAGGCCTTCTGCCACACACTGCCCTAATGAAGTAATAAAGACCATTCTGCGATACGAAAACTTCATTCAATTAACCACTCTGAGAAAAAGCAGTCTTTCTTTATGGCTCCCAGGTACCTGATAAGACGACATGGCTGGATACTGCACCATCATGCCTTGCACCTGATTTCCCTGTTGATTATTCATCAGGTTCTGGCTTTGGGGTGGCTGCTGCATTCCCATGAGACCCTGGAACCCCTGCTGCTGGTTCGGCAGGACAGGCTGGTAACCTGGAAGAAAAAGCCAAATACTCTGTGACTTACAGGGACAAAATTAAAATTATTATATGGAACAGCAAATGAACCCATACTTTCTCCTCGCATTCATCAAAAATTTGCTCTGTTTCTAGAGAAGCATTACTGGAAGTGAACACTTAACAAATGCTGTGAGTTACAGCTCTGGCAGGCTAACATGAGTGGGCAGCACACTTTTGTCATGCTCTTCAATCCCATGACAGAAACCACCCTGAAGGACACCTGACTGCGCCACAGAATTGTAATGCCCTGAGCAGACCCAGGGTGCTACTGGCTTCTGGCTGCTTCCTCAGAGGCAAAACTCCCACCAGCTTCAAGGACGCCAGCATTTGGCCTTCACAGTAGAATCTGGTAGTTGTCTTTCAGGTCACGTTTCTTATCTTGCCCTCTTACCTTCCTTGTAATGCAGCTCCCTAGCACGACATAAACAGAGAAGACTTTATTTAATCAAGAAGAATATCTGTATACACACTGGCTCCTACTTGCAAGGCTTTTTATATGATCAGAGCATATTAAGGGGTCATATTCCAACCTACTAGCTTTGTGTTTGGCTAAAGTGGAAAAGCATAAATTAGGGAGTGTCTGGTCCTCCCTATTGCTCAGCGGGAACCCTGCTGGCACACAAGTTACTGCGCAGGGATGAGAAGTTGATGCTTATACTTCAACCTGCTACTGGCTCTGTGTTCAAAGTCGCCACAACATTGCAGGTTTTCTGCTGGGATGGCTCTGCCAGGACTAACTGAGGAATGGGCAAAGTCTGGATGATCTGGAGGGCAACGCTGCTAATGAGGCAGAAGCGAGGATGGGGAGCACCAGCAGTGCACTGTGTGGCAGCAACGCGATCCAGCCTGAGCACAACCCTTGCCGGATGGAAATGGACTGGCCGGGTGATGCTGCTCTTTAGAGATGGAGGAAAGGAAAGGAAGATGCAGAAAGACCCTGTCCTTGAAAAATGTAGCCAGCCACAGTCATTATAAATCTATGAATAATTTCTCCTTAAGACGTTCCCTGTCCTTTAAGCACACGTATTTTTTAATGTGCAGTTATACAGTACACTATTAACTCCGTAGTGATGTGGTTGGAACAGGCATATTTCAGGCAAAGAAGGATTATCAGAAGGAGCAACGCTGTGTTATTTTTATATGAAAAATGTGTGTCACGTCTGCTCAATTTATATTCATGAATACAGTACACGGTTCAATATACTTCATGGATTGGAAATCATCACCTGAGTATTTCTTCATTATGTAAGAAAAATAAAGTAACCAATGTCTCTGTTTCTGCCGGTTTATTGTCAACTGATAGCTTTCCTTCAAAATCTTTTCTGATGCCAGAAAAATGTTGACTATCTCTGATCAATATTTTTGCATTAAAGATGCGTTTTCAAGATATGAGATTAATATGTCTAGTCAACCGAGCAAAATAAAAAATTAATTCTATGAATGATTAACTTGGCTGGGATATAGCATCAAACATCTCCCAAATGCACCATATTATTATACATTCAAATTTGCTCTTTTCCTATGCACAAACACAGTGTCAGCATATTTTTTAGTCACAAAAATCACCAACATCAGAAGTGCTGTAACTGAGTTTACAGAAGGCTTATACAGCAATAATAAAATTGCAAGTCCTCTTCTGCTCCCATATACAAATTATGGGGGGGAGGGGGAGAGGGAGAATAGACAGAAATAAAAGAATTAACACTACTATTCTGATGTTTGCAAGACTGGAAGTTTAAGCAGAGAGGAGTCAACTGACAGCAAATATAGCAACAGATAATTCATCTCATGTCACTTGTGGTTGTCAAAGTAAGTCCCAGATGTTGTAATAAACAACAGATTGATGGTGGACCAGGGCTCAAGTGATACTAAGCTGGGGAATGCAATCAAATATCGGATCTGGGCTCACAGCGTTGGACCGTGATGCACTGGCATGACTGGTGCTGTGCAGAGGCAGACTGACTCCACTGGGGTCAAGCAGAGAGAAGCCCTTCTGGTATCTCTAGTAAATGTAATTGCATTACCCTTATTTCAGTCAGACTACTGCTCATACTGTGCTGTGTGCTTGAACATATTGCTCTTTCTTAATCTCAGCTTTGAGTTCCATATTTTTCAAATATGACAAATTTATTGCCCAATATGGACGTTACTATCAAACTGAAACAAAACGTTGTGGAAATGGCTAAAATATCTACCCTTATGTTGAACGTGTAGGCATCATCTCATGGGGGTATTACAATAACGTGTAACTCTGACCTGAAAATGTCCTCTGTATTAGCAAACACTGCTTAGTACATGGCACAACCACGCCACGTTTTAGGTGCAGGAATACATAAAGGGGACAGGTTAAGAGCTGAGGTCTGCTGGTTATGGATTATTATTTTAACAATCTTACTATTCTTCACGGACTCTGCAATTTCTCCTGCCCGTAGGGCATGTGCACTCCTCACCCCTGTTCCAACATGCAGAGTTCTGCTTACACCCCTGGGAGTCAGAGGAAGAACTCTTTCCTACTTCCTCTGTGAACCGTTTCCAACGCTCTGACCACAGAGGGGCTGCAATACAAGCAGAAATAACACTCCACATGCACTCTAACACCATTCCAGTGTCATCAGATAGGAGCAAAGAGGTATTAACCTAAGAATGTGATCATGTAGTCTCCTGAACCTTCCTGCTATTAAGTGAAACTAAGTCACTTGTTTGGCCCACAAAGAGGTACTGCAGTCTCCTGATCACTGGCTTCCTGGACTTGTGGGTGGAAAAAAGGATAAGATGGTTACTGACCTGCTTGCATCCTTGCAAACATGTTGGCTGTCATCTCTTCCTCACTTAATATTCTTGGACTCTTAAGTTATTGTTAGCACCCTTTGGAAGATAATGAAGTTATGGATGTCAGACCTTGCTGAAGAACCCCAGTACAGCATTTGGTCAAAATCCAGCTTCCCCTCCAACACTCTGCAACTCAAGTGAAACTACTTCCCTTTACCTGATAGCAAAGTCCGATCCTTTACTGTCTTAAATACATGTCAGAAGAGGCAAGTTCATCCATTCCACTTAACATAAAAACCTGACAAGGTAAAAAAATATACTACGATAGTGTAGAGAAGTACAGACTATGAAAAGGTGAATTAATTTCTTTACCTCCAACAAGCTCTATAAGCAAGAACCCCAAGTCCATTCTGCTAGATGGTTTCTGTTTCAGCAGAAATTCAAGGGGAAGGAACTGGCATTCTATGTGGCAATCCATTTGAACAAGAAATTGTTAATATCAGAAACCAGCCACTCTGAATTTTCCACCTCCACAGCCCAAACTCTGACATGCCACATTAACATTTGAAACAGCTCTTTCAGCATCTACTGTGTGTTGATGTCTTCACATGTTTCTGCATAGTGACCAGGAAAAGAGCGACGGGAGAACTGAGACTCTGCATAACTGATAGTCTTAATACATCAACCTTTCAGCGATGTTCATGAAACTTTTATCATTCCAGCAAATGTTGGTGTTTTTTTTTTCCTGAGGGCACAGACTATCAGAGTTTGTTATTGGCCCAAAACTGTTTATTTTGTACACACACACCAGTTTCAAAATAAGGCAGTGTTCTCAAACGGCTTGGGGACAAACTGCAGTGCACAAAAAGCAATGCATTGCTGGGCAGAGATGGATGCTTTGGAGCTACACAGGAAAGGAGTGAGAACAGGAAGAGGCACCATGCTTTCTGCAGCAACAGCTTTCTTCATACTTGCTCTTCTGCTCATTAGCTTTCATACTACATAAAGTGTAATCCTTAAAAGCCTCTTTACTGTCCTCTGAGAACATACATACGTGGGTTATTTTCTAATGGCAGTACACATCAGATGAACCATCCTATTACTGCAAGCTCCAGGGCCTCTTTACTGCAATTATATCATCCTGCTCTATGTTATCTCTGCTACAAAGAAGGATTTTTTAAATCAGGGCAAACATGAGAGACATTGTTAAACAACCAGAGGAACAAATCGTTCACAGAATTTCAATGAATGCCTCAGAGGAGAAATGAGCCTTGGATTGCAGTTGAAGTGGAAGAGGCCGTCATACCATCAAGGTAATTCTTTCAACCTTTACAGCCTGCATCACTATGCTGACAGTCAGCTAACTCAAACATCCCAGAGGGCAAAAGACTGCACGAAAGACCTACAAATGTTTTAATTTCTTGATAAGGTTATGGAGCTCAAATGGCTAAAATGGCATGGTCTTACACCTTTGCTAGTAACATCACCCAGAGCTGTAATTAAAGCATATTTGGTGCTCTACTGGCCTCAGCATACGTCTTTCACAAATGGCACATCCCTGTTTGGAGGGACTGTTTCATTACTCATTTGAGATTTGAAGCATATATGATGAAGATAGCTTTGTAATGTGTCTCAGCACAACTCTGGGTAAAGAGTAATCAGCGCTTTGGCTGATGTGTGTATGGCAGTCTGGCATTAGTCCCTGAACTGTAGATCTTGTAATCTCACCACTTGAACATCCCACAGCACCACCTTTGTATTGCAGACACAAGGGAATACCTGGGGATGCACTGAAAATAGTGTAAGAGCAGATTCTGTACCCAGTCCTGAGTGCTGCACTCACTGCAGGGGTCTACATTTTCAGAAGACTCCCCCAAACTGAGAAGTGCTGAAAAGAGAGCTACAAAAATGATGTGAGGTCAGAAAGTGCACCTCTTCCTGGGAGACCTGATGAGCTCGCTCTGCTCAATTTATTCAAAAGATGAAGAAGTCTCTGCTATAGATAGTTCTTGAACAGAATAGAACACAGTATAATAAAATTACATGGTTGGAGATTAAACCTAGAACTGTTCAGATTAGAAATAAAATTCAAAGTTTCAACAGACCCTATAATTAACAATGGGGCAATTTACCCAGAGAGGAAGCGCATTTGCTATCATCTGAAACTTCTACAATGAGCTTGCTGGATGATAGTCATCACTTTAA